CTTCCAGACGTGCCTCTACAAACAGGATCTACAACGCCACCTGAAGATCCTTCTGTTTCTGGTGTGCCCAAGCACACATCGACCCGACCTCGGCCTCAGTGTCTGACGTGCTTGAATTCCTCCAGGATGGGTTGGGCAAGGGCCTTGCCCTGAACACGCTTTGCACGCTTTGCAGGCCTTACACATTGTTCTGCCTGGTGTGGACACTCATCTTCTTACCCACAACCCAAAGATTCGTAGCTTTCTTAGAGGTGTTGCTAACCTCCGTCCTCCGGTTCTTCACCACTGTCCAACCTGGGACCTTTCTCTGGTTCTCCAAGTGCTCATGTCACCCCCCCTTCAAACCTTTGGGGTCTATCAGTCTTTGGCTTCTCACTCTTAAAGTCACCTTCCTGGTGGCAATCACCTCTGCAAGATGTGTGTCCAAGATCGCTGCCCTATCGGTTAAGGGAGACCTCTGTATCTTTCATTCAAACAGAGTCATCCTGAGGATGATCCTTCTTTTTTGCCCAAGGTCAACTCTTACTACCATCGTGCCCAGGAACTGGTGTTACCTGATTTCTGCCCGGGCCCTAGGCATGATCTGGAAGCCCAATGGCATACCTTGGATGTTATGAGGGCCCTTCATCGGTATATTAAAAGGACTATGCCTTTTCAAAGATCTGAGGTGCTCTTTGTCTCCTTCCTCCCTGCGTCAATGGACAAGAAGGTCTCTTCGTCTACAGTTGGCTGCTGGCTAAAGGTGTGCATTTGCAAGGCATAAGCCCTCAAGAACAAACCCCTGCCGGAGAGAATTTTACTGCACTCAATGAGAAGTGCTTCTACCACAGCGGCTTGGGCCACTCAGGCTTCTGTGAATGACATTTGCAGGGCGGCCACCTCCTTTACCTCGGCTGAGGCATCCTTCGGACAGTGTGTGCTACAAACTGTCCGCTCTGCTTCTGCCACCCGGGAGCACTCAGCCTCCCTCCCTTCTTAGTACTTGCTTGGGTATATTAAAGCAGCACACTGGAGAACAGACGTTGTCTTACCTGAACGTCCCTTCTATGCGCGCTGTTGGAGAATCCAACCCATCCATTCTGCTACTTTACCATTGCCAGTCTGCCTTATATGTTCAGACAGTGCAGAGAAGGAAACAGAGCTGCGTGCAATTGCTGATTCACTAGGAGTAGAGCAAGTGTAGCAAGTGCTAGAGGCTGTTAGCAGCAGTAAGCAGCTACTCAGTATAGCTATTGAAATTCTCTAAGAAAGGAGGACACCGAAAAGATGACTGTGATTATTGATTTTTTAACTGCTTAAAGCTCTTCCAAATAAAACAATTCTTCTTTATCTTTATCTTTATCTTTATTCAAATTTCTATACCGCCCTTCTCCTTTCGGACTCAGGGCGGTGAACAGCCAAAAAATAAAACATTTTATATACAAAAGTTAAAATAAATTTAAAATAATTAAATAAATTTGGCCCATTAATTTAAAACATTCCAATTAAAACCATATCAAAATTATTTAAAATTCTTGTAACAATAATGACTAATGTTAGAAGTGCATTCATCAAATCTATACTGACTGGTATTGGTTGTTATGTCCCTACTTTCTGTTGCTTATAAAATTCTGTATATGTCATTACGTTCTAAAAAGTTGGTGCAGATTTGAAATTTTTGTGATCCTTAGAAGAGCCTAGGCAACTTTGTTGAAATATCTGAGATATTTCCCATTTAACTTGCCTGGCAACTGATTAGTTTAGTAAAATGGACAATATCTTCCCTAATGTCATATTCCCAGGGCCGGATTTTCCTATAGGCTAACTAGGCTTCAGCCTAGGGCCTCAAGATCAAGAGGGGCTTACATTCAAATTGTTAGCAAAATTAAAATTACACTTTCACTATAGGTGAAAGGGCCTCATAAGTGGAATAGCCTAGGGCCTCTTTTCGTCTAAATCCGGCCCTGCATATTCCTCATCTGGAGCATCTTTTAGATTGAAGGCTGTACCACATTACAGTGCAGTCTTAAGACAAAAACAGTTTGCTTCTCTTGCTTTAGGTCTGAAACAAGGATCAGACCTAATTTTTATATCAGTGATTTTTTCCAGGCTAAAAGAAGAGAGAACAGCTAGTTCAGTATTTGTTGCAAAAGAAAAAGGTGAACATTATAAAAGTTTTGGGTGGTAATTGCTGAAGGGAGATTATAATAAATGTTGAAGTACAATAGCAAAAATGTTTTGTGCTAGTATTATGTGGTATATCATTTGTAATTTCTCTATTACTGACAAAAGTGCTCATAGATTTCATGTTTACATATATGCAATATGAGTTCAGTTTGTAAAGAGGGCTAAAAGTAATTAAGGTCTGCTTTGGTTAAAAGTAATGAATTAATTTATATATTTAATATTCATGTAACATGAACATGAGCCAGGCTTCTAACAACAAACAAGTGAAACATTTGCTGAAAAATAAATTAGTAAATCTGTCCCACCTCTATGCTTTTTTTCATCCAATTAACTTTTTCCCTTTTCTGTTCTATAGTATTTAACTAATAATCCCACCGCACATCAAGACAATTGATGAAGAGCACAGCTTAAGATTCATTGATTTCAATACCTCTAATAGTGGATAGATATGACTAAATTTTGATGTAATTCTTTATCCTTAGCATTTTATTTTTTCTATTGAAATCAGTACTTACACCATGAACTCGGGTTATTTGGAGTATTTTTTGTAGGAAATTTAAAATTAAATATCATTCAGAGTATTATTGAACTAATATATTTATTTATATCTATATACTTTTTAGCAACCTCTGCCTCCTCTTTTTTTAATTTATCTTGACTTCAGGATATGAACCAGAACTTGTGTTAGATAAGAGGTCAGATGATGCTATGTTAAACTCCTGCTACAGTTATGATATTATTACCTCTTGGTAGAATATTGTTATATCATAAATTGATTTTAGAATGCTATTGTATTATATTCATTCAGTTAGTTTTTCTTTTTAAATCCTTTTTACTTTAGTCTTTGTTGTACAACTATTTAAGGTAATAAATAATAAAGCATATTATGTGTTTTTACCTAAGTCATAGTTCAAATTAGAAAATATACAAATACTATGCAAAAGTTGATGAAGATTCTCAGTCATCCATGCAGAGTTGTCTGGAAGTTGATCATGGCAACTAGACTTCTTTTCTTCTTTTGTTTGAAATGTTTCACTGCTTATCCAGACTTTAGCGACATACTTGGCAAATAACAATAACTTAAAATATTGAGGACTTCTGATTAAAACTCTGCCTTGATATTTATATTATAATAAGTCATAAAGTGTTTTTCTTTCTTATGCGAACTTGGTCATTGAGCCTTGTGATTTATTTGGCATAATTTGGCACAATATGTGAATCCAGACAGTTACTCCTTATTCAGCAAATTCTGACCTATTGCAGTATGTGAACCAAGCAATTTTAAGAATACATTATAATATAAGTGATTGATTTATTTTATTTTATTTGTTTAAATTTCTATACCGCCCTTCTCCAATGTAGGACTCAGGGCGGTGAACAGCCAAAGTAAAAACAAGACATACATACAAACATACAAAATCTAAAAACTGTTTAAAATAATTAAATAATTTTGGCCGTAATTAAAACATTCCAATTTAAAATCCATTTAAAATTTGACTCAAGCCAGCCCAGCTAGTTGGAATAAATGGGTTTTCAGGGCCCGACGAAAAATCCGGAGGTCTGTTATTGTACGTAGCTCTGGGGGGAGGTTGTTCCAGAGGGCGGGCGCCGCCACAGAGAAGGCTCTCCCCCTGGGGGTCGCCAGCCGACATTGTCTGGCGGACGGCACCCTGAGGAGGCCCGCTCTGTGGGAGCGTACTGGTCGGTGGGAGGCTATTGGTGGCAGAAGGCGGTCTCGTAAGTACCCCGGCCCTAAGCCATGGAGCGCTTTAAAGGTGGTCACCAACACCTTGAAGCGCACCCGGAAGATCACCGGGAGCCAGTGCAGCTCGCGCAGGAGAGGTGTCACGTGGGAGCGCCTCGTCGCCCCCAAAATCCCCCGCGCGGCCGCATTCTGGACCAGCTGGAGCCTCCGGGTGCACCCCAGGGGGAGCCCCATGTAGAGAGCATTGCAGTAGTCCAGGCGGGAAGTGACGAGTGCCTGAGTGACTGTGCGTAGGGAGTCCCGATCTAGAAAGGGGCGCAACTGGCGTATCAGGCGAACCTGATAAAAAGCCCCCCTGGCCACGGCCGCCAAATGATCTTCTAACGACAGCCGTGCGTCCAGGAGGACGCCCAAGTTACGAGCCCTCTCCGTGGGGGCGAGTGATTCGCCTCCAATAGCCAGCGATGGCGTCAGCTGGCTATATCGGGACGCCGGAAGCCACAGCCACTCGGTCTTGGAGGGGTTGAGTTGGAGCCTGTTTCTCCCCATCCAGGCCCGCACGGCTTCCAGGCACTGGGACATCACTTTAAGGGCATCATTGGGGTGGCCTGGGGTGGAGATGTACAACTGGGTGTCATCAGTGTACTGATTTAAAAGAAGAAACAGACCTTTGCTACTTTCTTTTTATTGCAGTATTGGATTCAGAAGCAAATATTCTTTCTATTGCCCAAGATTATTAATTTCTCTTATGATGGCTATCTAGGACAACACACTGCACAGTATCATGGGCTGAAATTAAATATTTGCTGATGTACTACTTCTATATGAATTGCATGTTGATGAGATCTAATAATCTGTTTCCAAACAAATCTCAGTCAAAAACTGAATGTGAATGCAAACTGGCTGAAGCAGAGCAAGATGACTGATTCTTTTCCAAAAGTAATTTTAAAAATAAAATTAACCAAAACTATTATTTCTGTCCTTTAGCAACAATCAGATTTAAAAGCACAGGTGCAGGTAGCTCTCTTAAATTGAAAAGTATTAAAATGTCGTACGGTAGCTGCTGCAAGTTTGTTTTGTATATTTCTAAATATATAATTAACACTGTTTTTTTTCTCTTTCTCCACAGTATGCAAGCAGTTCTTTTTCTTCAACTTTTTGATCCAAGTAAGTGATAATAAATTAAATTATAGTATAGCCATTTCCACCGTGGGATTTCACATGCTGTAGTCAGAATCTATGTGTTGGGCTGTAGTTCTCACTTCAAATGTGCAAATTGCAAACTAATTCATTGGAATAGCTCAAGATTGGGAAAGTTTGCTATAAATGAAGAAAATGTATAGTCTGAAACATATTTACTCAAAGATTGATGAAAAATGCTTTTAAAAATAAGTCTGTTGACTGTAATGTAACTAAAGCTATGCTTTGAGACAGCTGGAGAATATACATCTCATATAATACATTATCAGTTACTAAAATAATTTCAATCTATTCATCTTTTCTTTTGAATGTAGAAAAATTAAATTTGTTTTTAACTGGATTTCAATTCCATGGCTCAGTGCAGGAAACCTGTTAGGTTATGTCACACAGTATTAAATTTTCTGTCTCTTTATAAAGTATATACCAGTATATAATTAATTAATTAAATAATGGTGGAAAATTAGGAACAGTAAATAAAAGAAAGTAACTTTGAAATGCACTGTGTATTACAAGTAATACACTGTGTATTACAAATAATACACAGTAACACACAACAAGTAAAATGTAGTACTTCAGCAAAAATTTTAGATTAATAGTCATTTTTAACTTTCTATAGTGCTAATTCCCAGGTAAGGGGAACCTTGCCTTCCTATTTTTGGAAAAAAAAATCTAATTATGGCATTAATTCAGGACTTCTTGGCTATGGAAAAAAGGTATACATTGGAAAGTCCCTGACAGATTGATTTCTAGTTAACTTAAAAGTGAGGATAAGATAGTTGCAAGAAAGTGGGTTTATATAGATTGGGGAGAAAAGTATGAGTGATCTATGATGTAAGGCCTAGGGAGAAGGCTAGAATTTAGTGGTGGGAAATACGATCAGATTGCAGGAGTATTATCTACTATCTAGAGGCCTAAAAATGCACATGACACTAAGCTATAATGTTTTTGTTGTTTATTTTTGACCTGCTTGACTTTGTTGTGTACTACTACATACAAATTTGTGGGTACTGATCTGTAAAGGAACATACCTAATTCACATTTCTTTTTTTTTTTTTAAGGAACACAGAGTTGGGTTTCTAAATCCATACATTTTAGAAATTGCCACTGAAGTTGCTAACTCAAAAAATGAACATAAAATACCGATACATGTCTTAAGGAAAAATACACAAAAATGCATTATATTAAGAAATTTAAACTATAAAAATAAAATGCATAAATAAAAAAATTGATACATTAGGAAATCACACATGACATCTATTACTGCGCATGCTTGAAGATGGTGGTGTCGGGTTAGCTCCCGGTCTGACGATGGGGGCTGTTTGGCCTTTTTGGGGGGTGTAGGGTCGCTAAATCCATCTGTGACCCTGAGCCCCAGCAAGGAGAGCCCCTGCCCAACCCGGGGGAGGACTTTGTTTTCCTCTGCGACATCATGGTTGGAGCGAGGGGCCAGTGAGGGGCCAGCGCCTCAGAAGAGGCCTTGGAGGCGCTGAGGATGCTGCGGAACGCCGCGGAACGCCCGCAGAGGTAATAGCGGCGGTGGCAGCGGCGCTGTGGAAGCACCCGGGTGCTGCAGAATTGCCTTGGAGCGCCGCGAGGACATGGCAGCGATGGCGGCACTGAAAAATACCACGGAACGCTGAGAAGGCAATGGCAGCGGTGGCGGTGGCAGCAGCGATAGTGATGGCGGTGGCAGCTTGGTTTGGCCGCAGGGAATCATCTGGCTGTGGTCCTTATCTCCATCAAAGATGAGGGGTTGGAGGGGGATGGCGACTCCAGCGGTAGCGCAAGTAGCCGTGGGGCGATGCCCCCCCTTCCTCCCCCCCTCGCACTCAAAGCAACAGAGCCAGGGTGGTGCTGGTGGCGGAGGCTAGCTGGCGGCGTTGGTTGTCCCCCCCATTGACGCATCTGTTATGGTGCTGGGGGGGGCGGCATGGGCGCCATTGGTGGCGTCCGTTGCAGGACACCACAATGGTGGTTGTTTGCTGAGAGTGAAGAGAAGAAGCCGAGGAGAGGAGGCCTGGACTTAGAAATCGGCAGAGGAGGAGATGATACCCTCCTCTGGGGATACTGTTTTCCCCCCTCCCTCCACCGCCTTCCCTCCCCCTCCTTTTATGAGGGGAGGGGTTTACGAACCGCTACACTTTGGACCCCTTACCATGTTTCTATTCACGCCCTCGCTGGTAGGAAAGACTGAACACCATTATGAGGGAGCTGAGGGATTTTATATCCCAACAGAGAAGACATAACATCAGTCCCGATAACCATCTGTAACGGGACCAGCCGTTGTGAGAGAATGGCTGGTTATTAGCCTCTGTTGGAGAAAAAAGAACTTTGGACCTTCTCCCTGTTGTGAGAGGACAGTGAGTCCAGCCCTACAAATGGATATTTTGTGACCTTTATGCTCAGTCATCCCTTTGGACTATGATAGACTCCCAGACAGGCCTTCCTCTCCCATCCTTGGTTCGGTTGATGCTCCAAAAAGCTGATCTTCTTGCGCTGCGAGACTCCCCCCTCTCGCAGGCCTGGCCCTCCATGTTATCGAGGGCCTATCTCGATGACGGGCTTTGGAACCCTGAGAGATGGCATGCAGCGAAGAGGGGGTTGAGGGGTTTTCTACGTAAATTTTTAATGAAATTTTTAAGGGGACCCGGGAGGAGGGATGGGAATAACAATTTTTTAAGGGGAACCGGGAGGAAGAAGACCAAGGGTTTGGGGGGACGAACCCACTAAGGTCAGAGCCGAGCCCGGCACAGGGGGACGGTTTGGAGGGTGCAAGTCGAGGATTTGGGGAGGGGCTGGAGGATTATCCGGAGGAGGAATTTTCCATCAACATGGTGAATGGGAGGGGCAGATATGGTGGGAGTAGGAGACCATATCATGTGCTGGGGGCGCGCACTCGCTGTTTGAGAGCGATTGCGCGCCCCGGTCCCCAAGACTCCACTCGGATACTAGGTGGCTTAGATACTCAGGACCTGGACCTCCGGCTGATGTTATGCAATGCCAGGTCCGTGGTTAATAAGGCCCCCCCACATCCATGATCTTATACAGGAGGGGGGAGCAGACCTGGCAGCTATTACTGAGACTTGGTTGGACCCGGAGGGAGGGGTCCCCCTGGTTGAGATGTGCCCACCGGCCTTCAGAACGTTCCATCAGCCAAGGGCCCAGGGGAGGGGCGGGGGGGTGGCGGTTATTATTAAAGAAGATCTTGGTTCGAGGGAAACTACTGTGCCACAGATGGCCGGATGTGAAACCCTCTTTGTGAGATGGGGTCATGGGGCTCAGATGGGCCTGTTGCTCACGTACCTGGCTCCCTGCCGCATGGCAACGGCCCTGCCCGAGCTACTCGACGTGATAGTCACGGTGGCAGTTGACACACCCAGGCTTATGGTCATGGGTGATTTCAACCTGCCATCCGTTGGTGAGACGTCTGAGATGGCCCGGGAGTTCATGGCTTCCATGACGGCCATGGACCTGACCCAGTTAGTTCATGGCCCCACAGGGGGGGTCACACTCTGGACCTGATTTTTGTCTCTGGCCAGTGGTTGAGTGGCCTTGTTATAGGGGATATAGACATGGAACCCTTGTCATGGTCTGACCACTCGCTCCTTCACCTAGATCTTCGAACCGCTACACCCCGCTGCAGGGAGGCGGAGCCTACAAGATGGGTCCGCCCCAGGTGCCTGATGGATTCTGATAGATTCCAGATGGAGCTTGGGCTATTTCCTGAGGTTCTAGCACATGACTCGGTTGGGGACCTGGTGGCGGCCTGGGATCAGGCCGCTAGTGGAGCCTTAGATCGAGTTGTGCCTTTGTGGCCTCTGACCCGGTGCCGATCCCTCGCGGCTCCTTGGTTCACTGAGGAGCTGAGGGAGATGAAGCACTGGAAAAGATGCCTGGAGAGTGGTTGGAGGGCCAGTCTTGTCGAATCTGATCGAACACTGATAAGGTCGCATATTAAGACCTACCTAGTGGCGATAAAAGCGGCGAAGTCCAATTAATTTTCCGCTCTTATTGCATCATCAGAGAATCATCCGGCGGCCCTGTTCAGAGTGACCCGCTCCCTGCTTCAACCGGGAGTGTGGGAGGACCCTCTGGAGGGCAGGGCTGAGGATTTCGGACGATATCTGTATGACAAAATCGCTCAGATCCGGCGGGATTTGGACTCTGACTGGGTAGATCCGGGCAGGATGACGAGGAATAGTCTTGAGAATGTTATCTGGGAAGAGTTTGACTTTGTGACTCCGGATGACGTGGACAGGATTTTGGGGAGACTTAATGTGACCACATGTTTACTGGACCCGTGTCCCTCCTGGTTAGTACTGGTTTCCCGGGAGGTCTCACGTGGCTGTCTCCAGGGAATTATCAACGCTTCGTTGAGTGAGGGTCACTTCCCCGCTACCTTGAAAGAGGCGGTGGTGAGGCCTCTCCTCAAGAAGCCCTCCCTGGACCCGGCAGTATTGGCTAACTACCGTCCTGTCTCCAACCTTCGCTTCGTGGCGAAGGTTGTTGAGAGTGTGGTTGCACGACAGTTTCCACAATTCCTGGAGGAAACGTCCTATCTGGATCCGTTCCAGTCAGGTTTCAGGCCTGGGCATAGCACAGAAACAGCATTGGTCGCGTTGGTTGATGATCTCTGGAGGGCTCGGGACAGGGGTTGCTCCTCTGTTCTGGTCCTATTAGATCTCTCAGCGGCTTTTGATACCATCGACCATGGTATCATGCTGCACCGGTTGGAAGAGTTGGGGATGGGGGGCACCGTGTTACGGTGGTTCTCCTCCTTTCTCTCCAACCGGTCGCAGTTTGTGTTGACAGGGGGGCAGAGGTCAACCTCGAGGCCTCTCATCTGTGGAGTGCCGCAAGGGTCGGTCCTCTCGTCCCTTCTGTTCAACATTTATGTGAAGCCGCTGGGTGAGATCATCCGTGGCTTTGGGGTGAGATACCACCAGTACGCTGATGAAACCCAGCTG